ACATTTAGGCTTTATCCAGTTTCTATGAAAATACATCCAATTACAGAAAGATCCTAAAATGTGAACATCAAGTCACATGACTTCAAAACAACGACCCCTGTGTCTTTTTCATTGTTCTCTCGCACACGCTGTCACTGTCATTAAACGAACGTAAAATCCTTAAAAGTAAAAAAAAAAAATTGTACATAGACTGACTAGATAAACAAAATTCTGGCATGCATTTCAGAAAAGGCAAAGACCCCAATGGCCCTAACCCCCGAAACCAAACGAATCCAATACAAATAATACAATTACAGTATTTTTTCTTTCTCGCTTTTTATGTATATAGCTTTTTTGAAGGGCAAATGGAAGACATAAGGTGGCTGTCATCTACAGAGACGAGTACTTCGGCCTAAAACTTTCGCCACCGTCTCCGAAAATACTGTACCCCTCTCACAGCAGCAGGATTGTATAACAGAAGAAAATAATACAAAATACAAAAACGAAAGAAAAAGAGCACACCAAAAAATAATAATCACATAGAAGTTGATAGACACACATAATGAGCTTATATACTCTTATCTCTATTTTTTTGTTTAGAAATTCAACATGTAATTAAGAGAAACATCATTATTATTATTTTTTTAATGACGCTCGTCATCATTAATATTAATAATCAGTATTCATATTAGAAGTATTACTATTGGTTAACACTACATATGGGTTTTACTAAAGGCCCCGCCCATGTCACAGAGTTAAAGGGCTCTATCATCTGCCTGACGGGTCGGTGATGGGTGAAGGGTGAAGGGTGAAGGGTGAAGGGAGGGAGAGGGTCGTCATCATCCGCCCGTCTTCACGCACGAAACTCACTTTCCCAGAGGACTCCAGCGCTTCATCCGTCCACCTCTCTCCCCCGCTCTGGCGCTCCTCAGCACGACACCTCCATGGTATGGGATGGGCTCGGCGGGAGCTGTCCGCCCTGCGAGCCCTGGGACAGCGTGCGGGATCGGGAGCGAGAGCCCTCCATGGAGTAGGAGGACGAGAGCGAGGTGGTGCGCGAGCGCGAGAGACGCGTCATGCAGGACGATGCCACTGAGAGAGAGCAAACAGAAGAAATCGTTGAAAAACAAGAACAAATCAAATAAAATATAACAAATAAAAAATAGATAGATAGATAGAATCAGTGAAAAAAAAAATCCAAAATGTAAGGGGTAAGGATTTAAGAGGAGAATTGTGAAATAAAAAGCATTTATTTAGTTAGTTAGTAACACCATAAAAATATGGTGCTTCTGTCAGTGACTATTTACCAACAAAATGTTACTTGCTCTTGTTAATCTGGTCAAAAATGCACCAAGTCTTGTCTACTTATAATGAGAAGCTAAAATATTGCTGTATATAGGCTAATATTATTATTAACGTTCAAAAGTTTGGGGTCTGTAAGATGGTTTTGAAAAAAGGCTCTCCTGCTCACAAACAAGGCTATATTTATTGGATCAGAAATACAGTAAAAACAGGAATATTGTGAAATATTATTACAATTTATGTTAATTGTTTTCTATGTGAATATATTGTAAAATGTATTTTATTCCTATGATCGAAGCTGAATTTTCAGCATCATTACTCCAGTCTTCAGTGTCACATGATCCTTCAGAAATCATTCTAATATATAGCGCCACCTATGGTCCGATCTCCATGACACTACGCAATGCTTGTTCAGAATCATCTGTCGCATGTGCTCACTTAGTTTCATGAAGTTTTGAGTTTTCATTTAGGATTTATAGGCTTTTGGTCATATTTGGCCATGTCCTTTTCTAAATTAACCCATTATAGCTCCCCAAAGCGTAAAATTAAAAAAAATTGTTTTTGAAGAAAAAAATATGAAAATGAGCTGTTTATATTTTTGTGGAAACTGATACACCCCACCCCCCCCCCCTTTTCTTTTTTAAGAAAAAATAAAAAAAAATAACAAGGGGTCCTAAGAGCTGTAGGAAATTAAAAGGGGAAAGTAAAAAATATATATATATATAAAACATTTATTTAAAATATAAATATTTAGTAAAATGTTTTTACTGTTATGTTTGTATCCTTACTGAGTAAAAGTACTGATTTTTTTTCAAAATGAATCTTATTGGCCCCAAACTTTTAAATCATGATGTAAGTAGTTGATGATTTATATTAAAACCTCAATTTCATACATTTTTGTGATGTTTCTCAATAATAAAATGCTCTCGGGTCACTTACTGTATCCCATGCCTTGAATGAAGTACTTAAACGCTTCTGTCAGTTTGCTGGGCTGGAGGGACACACATTTCATTTACACACTGCACAGATTTCATTTGAATAAATTAATTGTATTCATAAACAATGATGTGATGTGACTTACCTGAGTCAGCTGTGGCATCCCGCCGGCATCAGCCATCTGAATAAAAACAACAGAGAGTTCATATCAAAGTGTACTTGCTTTTTGTGACACAAACTGGTCTTATTTTCTAATAAGATAATAATTTTAAGATGACTAAATTAACAAGTTATTAAGATTTTACCACTTAATGATATGTTATGCTTATTTTTGCTCTTCTTTAATAAAATCTAATAAAAGTACAAAATCAGACATGACACAGGTGAAGTCCAAACCTTAAGGAATGAGGTCGTAGTTGGGTCTAGTTTGCTGTTGCAATCCACCTAGTGGACAGAAACAGACGTGCAGTGAGATGAATCGTGAGGATACTGTGGATAAGTGTTGACGTTTTTAAGACTGACTGATATAAAGACTTACCGCAGCTTCCTCATATGGAGCCTGATCACCAACCACCAACATCACAGGACATCTGAAAAACACAGCCACGTGAGGAGGCATCACAAGAGAAACATATAAGAGAGAATGGCTTTATTTTTCATCATTCTTACTTGAACGTGTTATTCCTCTCGATGTCCAGATCTCTGCGACTGTAAGGCAAAAAGAAAAACATAAAAGTTTGATTATCAAGGTGCCCAAATTGCATTTCTTGCATTGTGTTATCTAGCATGCATGTTGCATCCCACCTAACTGCATCAAACTGATAATAACCAAGGCTTTACCAAATCCATATAAAACATTTAAACAGCCAGAAGCATATGGCGATGTATGTATAAAACATTGCTTTATCACTGTTTTCTTTGTGTGTGTGTGTGATTTTACCCTTGGTAGCTCTTCCAGAAGAGTTCGATGTTGATGAGGTTTGGCGCTTTAGAGACTCTCTCTCTGTGGGTCTGAATGAGCTCTGTGTTTGCCGACATCTCTTCCTGAAAACAAACAAATACACACACAACAAATCAGTTTTTCGTCGTCTTTATAATGGATGGGAATTATACAAAATGATTACACAGTTCTCTGGAATACTTGATTCTGATTGGTCAGTCGCATCATTCTGTAGTCAAATATTTCTGTATAATGATAGTAAACTGTAGAAATGGACAATTTTCCCATACAGATGTTCTTGTTCTGCTCAAAAATCTATTTTTCTTACATACCAATGTAATTTAATGTAAAATCAATATTTCAAGTCCATTTATTTAACTTGTGTTAAGGCAAGACACCACAGGTGAATAGGGTAAAACGTTAGATATCACCATACTTCTCCAGTTAAATAATCACAATATATAATGGCAATTGTTTTGTATTATTACAACATTTCTAGAATGTTATGTTTGAATATGCAAATGAGGAAGTGTCTAATTAAATATGCACTACTTTGCATACATTTCCAGATTATAAATCTGAACATTGGATGAAGTTAGGTTCAAACTTCTTGTTTGATTTAAAGTTAAAGATTTTTACAGAAGGGATTTTGTTTTTTTCTTTTTATCATATCTATATTAATCAGAAAACAGTGCCAATATATATATATATATATACATTAAAAATCTTACTGTTCAAAAACTTTTGACTGGTAGTGTAGGCTGATTATTCTTATAGATTGAAACAAATGTGCTTCAGCCAGAAAAAAGGGTATGAAAAGTGCTGCAGAAAACAAAAAAAATTGAACAACAACAAAAACTGGAAATGTTGCTGGAGACGGCTTATTTAAAATGCAAACTCATTCTCTGCCAGCAGGAGGCGCTTTTAGAGTGATAAAACTAGCGGTTACTCCAGTAACGGCTGTAATCACAGCAGCTCCGCTCATGAATGCTACTTTATCAGATCTAATGAAAATACCATCGAAACTTTTCTGAAGACAGTCCTTTCCCTTCAGAGATACATTCATATAAAACACTCGCGCCGTGTTATGATTGTGAAACGTGCAGTGCTCATGTTTATTCAACGAAGTCAAACGGCACAAATAAATCAATGTATGGGAAACTGGTCATGTATATCGAAATATCGGAAATGTGTTTAAAAATCATATCACCGTTATTGAAATAAATTATATCGCGATACATATTGATATTGAATTATTGTCCAGCCCTAACACACACCTGACTGAAGAGGTGACTCAGGATTTGGTCTGTGAGGGAAGACGTCAGATTGGAGAGCTGCAGAAGAAACACAAGCTTTTCGAGTCATTTTCGGGAACATACTGACTGTTATTATTAATCAGACAGTGACTTCTTATAGCCTACAGCTGACAGACCTTCTGTGCAGCCCAGTCCATCCAGCCTCGTGAGTTTGTGTCGACATTGATCAGAACGAGCCCTTCCACGGCCTCAGGGTTACTCAACTGTGAGCGAGAGTGAAGAGAGGACGTAAAGCAGAGCTCAGTGAATATAAAGACGCTGTGGCTCAGTTTCATCTACATAGACAGAATCTGAAGGCATCAGAGGCATGTTTCTGTTCAAAACACTGCAAAATGATGCTGCTTTCCTTTTTAGCCAAAATCTAAGGCAGACATACAGGTTTCCTTTGTAAATAAGGCAAAATTAAAATGCATGGTGATAATCTCCATCGAAGATGACTGATGGAGTTTATTTTGAGAGTTTCTCATTTTTACTGTACTGTATATTTAAACAGTCTGCAAAGTTAAATAATATTTAATGCCTCAGTGTGTTTTTTTTTGGCCGGCAGAGGGCGTAATTCAGTCTCTGAGTGTCTGCTTGTGTTATATATGTTGTATTTAAACATACTGATGCAGCAGGTTTTAAAAACTAGACTTTAATTGTTTTATGGTCAAGAGAAAGAAACTAAACCATGACTAAATTCAAATACTAAAAACCAAACTATAGAAAGAAAGGGGCCACAACATCGAATAAGGGTCAAACTGAACTCCAAATTATATAAAAGTAGTGAGATTATTTGATGATAAGGCAATAAAAGGGGGAAAATTATAATAAACTAGATGGACAGCAACAAAATAGTTTTCATTTCAGAAGTCTGGGCACCTAAATGATAAAAGTGAAACTACTGATAAAAGTGTTTATTTAGAAAAAAGTACTATTCCAACCAATGAAACAATGATAATGCATGTGATGGTCAGATGTGTAACTCACAGTGAACTTGGACAGTATGTAAGCGCCAGCTCCGACTCCAACACCGATAATTGTGCGGAAACTAAACGAGAGGAAAGTAATCAGCACTGAATCATATGAACATAAGAACTATTGTCAAGTATATGTGTAGTTAATTTGTAAAGTATAACTGAAGTGTCACTAATGAAAGTTTAAACATGCATTGACTTGTTTAACTCACTTAAAATACTGCAGGACAGTTGGAAGCATATCAGAGATCTGATCCATAGTTGCATACTGGTATCTGTTAGAGAAAATAAGACATTTTAGGACTCTTATCAAGAGACACAGCAGCCGGTGGACACGTAAAAGAATAAAAATAGTCTCTGAGTCACAATCTGCATCAAACATGAAAGACATAAAACCACTAACACCTTCTGAAGACACTTTGACAGCTGTCAAACGCCATTTAATGCATTTACATTTTTCACATTTTTTCTAACACCTACACAAAGTCTCAGCAATCACACTCGCACACACACAAATATCCAGCTCAATCATGCTCATCGTGTTTGCATACGATCACACCGATGGGATTATCATCAGCTGCTCAATTCAAATCTGCGTTCGCGCTTTGTCTGGTGCTGAGGTGCTCACGTCATTTATTAAAATTTTTCAGTATTTTCAACCATATGTGTCCCTGGAGCACAAAAGCAGTGTTAAGTCGCTGGGGTATATTTGTAGCAATAGCCAAAAATTAAGAATTTGCTTTCATATTCAGCTTTCATATGACATATAAATCTCAATTTCGAAAAATGTACTCTTATGACTGGTTTTGTGGTCCAGGGTCACATATAATGTTTATTTTAAATTTCTCTCACCATCATAAATAATGTGAAAAATGAAATTAAAGTGTCGATTGCGGCATTGAATTTATATCTGCTCATGTTGCATCATATCTTCTTTTTACAGGTTTTTGCAGAGTTGCGCATTAAACCAATCACAGGCGATTCTGTTGAGCTTATGAATGCAATGTCCAATCAGAAGTGTTCAGATTAGTCATCACTGAAATGCTGTGAAGGTTTGTTCAGTGAAAAGTGAAAAGAATACATGGCACGTACCCGGCAGGATAAATGGCCGCGCCGTCCTCTTGTCCCGGAGCATCCACGTGGACCACAGTAAAGTTCTTCACGATCTCCTGCATCTCCTCAAACTTAAACAGGGTGGAGAAGCAGCTCTTACCTGACAGAGACAGACAACCAAAAATCATTCAATTTAATAATTTAATAATTTATTTTAAAAAACACATTTAATTTAACCCAAGGTTAAGTTTCTTGATTAACAGCACAATGTTGAGGGCTCATGATGTCTATAGAAATCAGAACTCCTTTCATTTTTATATAGTTAAGCTGAGATAGGAGAACATATTTTAACATAGAAAAACTACACACATTTAAACAATAAGGAATAGGCAGCAATAATTTATAATGACAATTCATCAACTTTTACAGATTCATTGTCGTTTACAAAAAAAATGTGCCTTCCTTACTGAAACTGAAAAATGCGTTTCAATTGTATTTTTTATTTAATTGTCTTATTATTATTAAAACGTTCTTTTGAGTCGAATCTTATTAATTAATCATTTGAACAGGTTCACAAAACTCACATCTGAATGAACTGTGCAACCTTAAACGAATCGGTTGTACAGTTGCTATTATTCTCTACTTATTAAACCAAGATCTGTTTCTTTTGGACATCTCAGTGTAGATGAAGCCTCACAGCACAATGACTACAGGTTCAGTTCCCTGGAGAACAATGATTACGGTCACGACTCGCTTCTGATGAACTTGCAATAAAATAATATTCTAGCTAATACAACAGAAGATGTCGTATGTGTTTATTTTCATACTCATGCACTTTGTCTCTGTTTGGCTGGCTGAACACACTCATCAAGTGTTAACCACATGGAGTAAGTGTGAAGAGCTCATCTCTTTTCGCATGATGAGCAGAGCTGCCTTTAAACCATCTATATTATTATTAGATGCAGCGACATTCATACTGAAAGAAATGTTTTAGTGGGGCATTTCCAAGAAACAATGTATATTTTCACACCTGCCTCTTTTCAACCCAATAAATATGAGCCCAGTGAGCGTCTCAGACACTTTCTGATCTTCGAGGCTCTTTCATTCACACGGGCTCAAGAACAACACAAAGGTAAATATGCATTCAGTACAAATGACTAAAGTGCTGAAAAAAAGGATATAGGCTATAGTTGTTTTGTTAATGAACTGTGATAAAGTTATGTTCGATGTTCGACCAAATATTGTTCTTTTGAGCCGGTTCTCTGAAGTAACTTGTCGAGCTGATTCACAGATCGACCTGAATCGAACTTTAGTTCCGAGCTGATGACGCACAGCCGAAGTAGCACCTCCGACTCAAAAAAGGTTCGACCAGCTGTCGAAGGATTCTATTGCTGACATAATGCACATGCGTGTTATCACCGAGGACTTGAACGACCCTGATGCGCAATGCAAGCTGATTAGTTTTATTAAATAGGCCTACATTTTTATTATTGTGCATGCAGATTATTGTAAGTTGTTAAGCTAAATCAGTGAGTTTACTATTTTATTTTATTATTTCTATATACTTTAGACATGCCGAACACACCCGCATTTGTGCATCAATGTCTTTAACACGTGCCGTAAGTGCGAAAGTTTTAGGAAACATATCCAAGATGTACTATATTGGTCTGTCATATCCGACATGAAGGGTCAGCGAATGAAACTGTGAACATCCTGAACGACAATAATCACAAATAATTTTATTTGACTGTTTCATTGATTTAATGACACTGAGTCGTTAAAAAATAAATGCTCATTGATATCATCCATGACAGCACACATACATCACGGAGACATCTATTTGACGTCTGCATTACATCTACAAGACGTGTTTTTTAGAGTGTTTGTTCATCTGCAATACGTCTATAGGACGTTTCCTATCAGATGTCAAATAGACGTTTAGAAGATGTCTTTAAGATGTTTATGATTTAGAATGCATGTAAAACTGACATCTTAAAGACGTCTGTCAGATGTTTGTACACAGCAGATGCTTTCCAGATGAAGAGATCTTTAACAGACATCTTGCAGACGTACAGGTGCAATCTTGCGTGAACTGATGAATCTTTTTTTTTTTTACCGGTTAATTGAACTGAACTGTCCGAAAGAACCGGTTTGCCAGACTTAGCATCACTACTTTAATGTTGTCCTTTCATTCACACGGGCTCAAGAACAACACAAAGGTAAATATGCATTCAGTACAAATGACTAAAGTGCTGAAAAAAAGGATATAGGCTATAGTTGTTTTGTTAATGAACTGTGATAAAGTTATGTTCGATGTTCGACCAAATATTGTTCTTTTGAGCCGGTTCTCTGAAGTAACTTGTCGAGCTGATTCACAGATCGACCTGAATCGAACTTTAGTTCCGAGCTGATGACGCACAGCCGAAGTAGCACCTCCGACTCAAAAAAGGTTCGACCAGCTGTCGAAGGATTCTATTGCTATTGTTATCACCGAGGACTTGAACGACCCTGATGCGCAATGCAAGCTGATTAGTTTTATTAAATAGGCCTACATTTTTATTATTGTGCATGCAGATTATTGTAAGTTGTTAAGCTAAATCAGTGAGTTTACTATTTTATTTTATTATTTCTATATACTTTAGACATGCCGAACACACCCGCATTTGTGCATCAATGTCTTTAACACGTGCTGTAAGTGCGAAAGTTTTAGGAAACATATCCAAGATGTACTATATTGGTCTGTCATATCCGACATGAAGGGTCAGCGAATGAAACTGTGAACATCATGAACGACAATAATCACAAATAATTTTATTTGACTGTTTCATTGATTTAATGACACTGAGTCGTTAAAAAATAAATGCTCATTGATATCATCCATGACAGCACACATACATCACGGAGACATCTATTTGACGTCTGCATTACATCTACAAGACGTGTTTTTTAGAGTGTTTGTTCATCTGCAATACGTCTATAGGACGTTTCCTATCAGA